TTTCTGAAGCTAAACTTATAAAACTTCAAACGTCAATTGACCCATTCGAAAATTCGAACTCTTTAATGTCTAAGTGCGCTTGTGGTCGAGTGTTCGGTTTGAGCATATCGAACCGATTTAACGTAGATGAAAGACCATAATGCTGGGGATCTTTATTAACCTGAAATATTATTATTGTGCAAAATTTGTTTTTTATAGGGAGTTTTATGTCCATTTTTCATGAATGTTCATGAATGAATGTTAGTAAGTACTAGGCTTTATATTTAAATGTGAAATAAACTATTTAATATTTTTGTATTATCGTATTTAGTATTTTTCTATTTAGTGTTGTCATATTTAGTGTTGTCGTATTTAGTATTTTGTATTTAGAATTTTTGAGTTTAGTATTTTTAAGTTTAGTATTTTTATATATAATGTTTTTGCATTTAGTATTTTTGTATGTAGTATTTTTGTATTTAGTAGTTCTGAACACAGCACAATCAATCTCTTGAGCTACGGATACAACACATTTCTAGGTGTCAAAAACTTTAGAAAACAGTTTAACATATTTTTAAGAGTTTTAAAAGTTTAACACAATCCTCTTATGTTATTAACAGAAAAGTTTCCAAAAATTTCTGCAAATTACATAGAATTAGCTTTTAAACGTATTATGCAAATTATGTTAAGATCAGCAAAATACACAGCATCTTTTAAATCTCGTATGACTGTTTATGTTTTCACAGAAGATATGGGATCAGCAGAATATGCGGCGCTTCTTGATACTCGTATGATTACTTATGATTTTTTTGAAAGATGTATTTAGTATTTATTGTGCAATAGATACATTGATTTATCTTCTAAAATTTGTTTACAATAACGTTTCCTGTTATTGAATTGCTGTGTGGCTCGCCTCGAATGCTTTTTATTTGGATTTATTTTTCGATTGGAATTTTAATGCGAAAAACGTGTAGGAGTTTTTCAAGTGCTAATGAATGCAAGTCTTCTTCTACTAAAAATATACAAATTTTGTGCTATGCTTGAACATACTAATAGGTATATAACTACTTAATTTATTCACTATAGTATATCAACATTATTTTTGATCGGTTTGTTATATTATTTAGTTAAGTTTTATTTAAACTAATTTAAGCTTAGATAATTTATTATCTAAGCCAGGCCTACAGCCAGGCTGTCATCAAGGCACTCAACTCTCACCAGATAACATTTAGATTGGTAATGGAATTTGTGGACAGGCTAACTATATTAGGCCAACACAATCAGGTATAAATTCTGTGGGTATCGGGGCACGTCAGAATACCAAAAAACGAAGTAGCAGATTCATTAGCTAGGAAAGAGGCAGCATCTCGCCTAAGGGGCTCCAGAACCGTTCTGTGGCGTAGGCCAGAACCGTTCTGTGGCGTAGGCCAGAACCGTTCTGTGGCGTAGGCCAGAACCATTTCTTCTTACTCCTATTAGATGAGAAAATCAAACAAAGGATGGTATACTGGCACAAACTATCGGGATTAATACAATCAAAAACATTTATGGGTGTATACAACCGTAAGCTGTCTAAGAACAGCTTAAGAATTACCATAGGAATCCTAACAGGACAATGTAATCTAAAGTAAATCCTAGCGAAACTGAAGATACATGATAATGCTAGTTGTAGATTCTGCAAAATCGAAGAAGAGTCACCAATACATATACTTCTTAAATGTCCTGCATTAATGCACAATGTAATGAATAGAAATGTTGCAGATTGAAGAGATACGACTTTCTTAAGTATAAATCATACTACGGTTTATCGAGGTAATCTAACTTAGAGAAACTTAGAGAGGGTCTTTTCAGTTCGTAAGCATACATGACTTAAGAAGTTGTGCCTGTATCAGACATACAGATGAACTGGCAATTCTTCAGAAAACTTTTACTTCCAGGTCCACTAAACATGTAGATATTTGGGTGTGTTTAGTAGTACTCTAATATACTGGGGACTATCAAAAACTCTGTAAGTACTTCATGTTACTCTTTTTTTAGTGACCCTTAGAGTTGTGATATTTGTATCTAGAAGATATTGAGAGTCCGAATGGTATGGAATTTAATAAAAATAATTGAAATATAAAATAATTTTTATGCAAATTAATTAAAATGTAAAATAAATAAATGAATGGCTTTTACAAGTAATAAATGAAGCACCTAATTGTTGAGCATTCAAAATGGGCTTTTGAAATTTCCTTGAAACGTGACATTTCATAAACTCGCCTTCGAACTAAATTTCTGGAATAACTACCCTCTCCCCTTTATTGACAAATATTTAAAGACTTGTTTTGCATTAATAAATATTGAATTTTGTTATTTTGCTGAAAAAACATCCCCCTATCCAATTCATCCTGATTCTTCTCATCCCCCTCTCATTGATAATTCAAAATATTTGGATATTATCCAATTTTATTATTGTGCCTTTTGTTATTGTGTTCTGTAATTTTGTGCTGTGTTGTGCTGTGTATTTGTCGTGTTGTTGTAAGGATTTGATTGTTGTTGCATTATGTTCCTGTACTTTCTAACCAATATTTGTACATATTTACATGAGATAAACGTGTTTCTGTTCAGTTCGTTTAACATTTATCGCAGACGATACTAATTTAAAATTTAGTCGTTATTAGATTAGAGAAAGACGGAGAGGGTGACGGATGGATGAATGTGTGTAACTTTGAAAGTGGGGTGCAGAATATTCAGATTTACAGCAAACAAAATATGAATATGTAATCAATAATTATGTTTAAAAAGCGTATGCATAAATTTCATTAAATTAAGTATATTGTATTTTTATTTGTTCTATATTTTTTTTTTTGTGGTGAGGAGAATGTTTTCACGAATGTTTTATGTATTGTGTCAACAACAATCGTCAGAATTGTGTGTCCGACTCGCTAACATTAATATGTAGTATACGGTCTAAAACACTTCCTCTTCGGCGAGACTCTAAAATCAAAGAAACTATTTAAACTAAGCAAATCGACAAAGGCCACCACGAACAGAATGTAATTCTTCTCCACGGTTTAAAGGTGTTAAGTCGCATTTATATCTCCTGTTTATCTATTGCATTTTTGTCCAAACTGAGAATAGCTTGAATAAGAGATCAAAGAAAAGAAAAACAAGTCTTTACTTTGAAAAAATTAATATTCTGATTCAATCGACATTAGTTCAATGTCAGCAATGGAATATTTTTTACTCTCCAAGTAACGTGCAAGTGCCATTTTGTTAACACAAAGATATTTAAAATTCACTTTTAAAAGCTGACCCGAGTGGTTGATAATTGAGACAAATTTTTGAAGATCAACTATATATTTGAAATGCCCACAATTTTCGTTAGTTTCCTTTGGCACAATCGATGATTCAAGAAATCAACTAACAAACCACGTACGTAGGTACGCTAAATCACATATATATAACTAATTAGGTGATATGACAATAGTATCAACCCCGAAATAAATATGGAAAAAATTTCTAGATCCTTACCAACTACCTCGAAACTTCTCCTGGGTATCGTTATTCCGAAATTTTCACATTGAACAACCACAAATCAGGTTTAGAAATGATTAACAACAATAAGCATATAGCGAATTATCCAATTGCATTAATCGAAAGGACAGCAGAATAAACAGAGAAATATGACACCAATTTTTAGATATTACCAATAACTATAGGAGAACTAATGAAAGATTAAGCACTGGTATCGTTCTGACAGAAGCAACAATATTTGTATAATAGGAGTGATTTCAATCACAATCACTGATAGTGATTTTCTGCCTAAATTCGACAATTTTTACTTCCACGATATTGATACTACTGTCTCAGTAGTAAAACTCATATTCTTATATTCATCTTTGACTTTGTACGCAATTACCAGGTATGAATTACATTACTGTACTCAGATTATAAGTATTAAACTATAGCAGTAAAAACAATTAAAATAACAAGATCAAAAATACTATGTGATAGACCCTAGAACTGAAGTTGAAGAGACTTGTCATATTTAAGGAAGATGCTATTACATCCTGACCCATGAATGTCAGTACAGCCATGGTAAAGTGACAAGAATCAACTATTGTAAAACGACTTGATAAAAAAGGTTTAGTTCAAGTCTACCGAAATAGGTAGAAGTGGCTAAAATCCATACAAACGACCGTATGTACAGACGGTCTATAAAATTACATTGAAAATTTGTTAACTTATCGCCAATATTAAAACAGATGCCACAAAAACAATTACCTATTCAATACTCACAATACTAATGCACGGATCATTAAGATCATACACCATAACTTTGAGTTTAGCAGATGACGAATAGATCTACTCGTCATGGTCAGAAAAGTTGCGCTCAGCATAAACTTCTTCAAAGCGAAAGTAATATTCCCATCAAGATGGTCCGGAAAGAAAAAATCACCAATGCCTGTTGATGTGATTTGAACCACTGCAAATCACTAGCAAAAATCCTAAAGTACGTAGACGAATCTAGTTAAAGGACATCAATAAAGTTTAAAGATATACATAAATACATTTATAAATTTTAGATGTATTTTTACTATAAATCAATAAGTCATGCTTTCTTCGAAAGCGTTGAATAAATGTTTCGCAGTTAATGACTTAAAAAATCGTCACCGTTATATCAATTCACTGCTATTAATGAAACAACTTCATTAAATAAACTAACTAGATGGCGCTAAAAATGGTCGTGGAAGCCGTCTACATAGATTTCCTCAATTACTCCATTAGCACCACTGGTCGAATTTTCTCTTTTAACGATATTACATTTACATATTGGTACCAGCCCTATTAAAACACCTTGAATATACTTCCGTTCTGATTAATTTTCCATATTTTTTTAGGCAGTATGTATGTATTTGTCACCAAAATTTTAATAAAAAAAAATAGAAAACCTGATCATTAATGCTTTGATTTTCAAATAATATTAAATAAATTGTTTTACTTCAAATAAAAAATTGTAAATTTTAGATATTTCACATCCTTTTATTTGTATTTTTATTTCAAAATTAAAAATTTTTCAAATTTTTTGGTAACATACTCTCCACATGCATTCACAATAAATTCAAACTTTTTCTTCTAAAATTGAAAAATTTATAGACCGCGACCGTCATGACTGAGGCCCGAGATATAATCTTCGAGTCCCAATTAGCAGTCGAGGGTAAAAGATATGAACACTTAATAGATGTTTTCAAAAAAATCAATGCTACCGTCAACTACGCTAATTATAAACTTACAACAGAAGAGCGAGACCTCTTTTTAGCTGCATATAAACACCAAATTGGAAAGTTGGTGGCTGCTTGGCGCACCATTTCTGAATGGCAGAAGACAGAGCACACCTTAGGAGAGCATGACCTTGAAACGACGAAGGAAGCAATGAAAGCGAAACGTTTGGAAATTGAACAAGAGGTACGGGTTATGTGCGGGGAAATAACAAACGTCTTGGATCAACACCGGTTTCCATCCTCCAATGTGGAAGATCGCATATTAAACATAAAAATTCGCGCTGATTGTCATCATTACTTGGCTGTGGTATGCAATAGCGAAGTACAGAAAGAAAATGCATTAGGAGCCTATTCACATGCTTCTGAGTTGGCTACTATTAATCTGCCGCCGGCACATCCAATTCGTTTGGAGGTACATGAGAGCTTTGCAGATTTTTATTTCAATGTACGCCATCTACCGCAGCTAGCATTAAATCTCTTACGTGCTGAGGTAAATAAAGCGAAGTGCATACACCAGGGTCAGTTATTGCTTAGTAAATGCAAGAAGTCAAAGGAGATAATAGAGCATCTTGAAGAAAGTATTAAACACTTCGAAGAAACCAAGAAAAACAGTAAGCGTGATCCTTTTCCTTTCAGTGACTTGATTAGCGAAGATCATTTCAATGGAAAAACTCTATGGCTATTGTAAAAAAAATTTTTTGAAATAGAGCTAGAGCTTTCGGGTATTATTCGATTATTTAGATTATATTTTTGATATATTTTTTATGTTTGTAGAAAACGCATTGGCGGAAAGAAGTGTTAGAACTTTAGGGAGATTAAGGAATAGATGGATCGGAGTGGAGAGAAGATAAATATTTATTCAAATTCAAGTTCAATAAATTTAAAAGCATCAGTTACAATTTAAGAAGCATTCGATTTCAAAAGCCATAAACACAATTCAATTTCAACACAATAAATCAAACCTATTTTGCAATAGAAATTCAATAAAGATTTGTTTTTTAACTATCTTAAATGTGTTTAATTTAATTTAATTTATTCATATATTTAAATATATAATTTATGAGCTTATATGTTAGATAAGATTAGATTTGAAAATGGGTTGGGAACTTTTCACCACGTCACTGTGCCCTTTAAAGATTGTTGTGATATACTAGAGAGATGTTCCCTAATTCTGTTATAGGCAGGATAGGCAGTTGAGAAGTACCGCAGTCTGCACTTTTTTGCACTTGATATATATTAGTTCATCAAAACTTAAATTCATGTCTATATAATGTAACTTATAATGTAACTCTTAACATTTGTAAGAGTAATAATTTATCTCAATAAAAAAAAAACCTTAATACCTTGTTGTTAATACACATTTTATATGAAATGTACATAAATACTGATGTGTTTTTATTTATTTTATTTATTAAAAGACCTAATTTACTAATTTCTAAATTTTTATAAAATTTGAAAGACCCTCATCTTCCACGGTACTCCATTTAAGCGTCTATTTCGCAACGCTTCACCTTTAGTTGACAAAAATACAAATCCTGTGACTTCTTTGCAGTTCTTCAGAGTTATTTGCGTAAGGCAAAAAGTTGTTGAATGTTTTATTTGAATATTTGATTTAGCATTTATAAAATTAAAAATATACTTTCCGGTTACAACCATAAAATGAATAAAAATTAAATTGAAATATTGTTTGTTTGTTTTTTCTCCGTTTTTTTCCCATTTTTTCCATTTTTTTTTTAGAGAATCGCAATAACCGTTACAGAAACAAATGTCCAAATGAGCAGAAGTAAAGTGAAAAAGCTTTCAGGGTTATTCCAAAACCCAACCCAAAACCGAAATTATACAACACGTCATTTAACATAAATTTTTTTGTGCTATCTGAGTTTTTGTCTATCTAAATAGTATCTGTGCGGTTGAAGATGTGACGTGTTATGCTAAAATATACTTCCCAACTCCCACACGCACTGCCTTGATGGCACATATTTCGTTTGTCTAACGTCTAACGTCTAACGAACGGTTGTTGTTGCCACATTCACCATTGCGGTCGACAATTTGATTAAATAATCGGAAATGCTAGATTTTTTAATTTCCCATCGTTTGTCCTTGACTCACACACACACATACCCATATATACATACGCTCACATTGAAATACAAAGTTTTAAAACACAGATAAACAAAATTAAATTTCATTTTCCATAAAACACAAAGCCACATCCATATTCGAGTGCGGATGATACAGATACAGATACATCTATGCGGACTCCGCAACACAATTTATGGCCGTAAACAAAAATATTTCTAATGCGGTAAATATGCGATTATTTATTTATATTTAAATGTTGTTGTTTTTTGCTTTCATTTCTCGCAAAACATTTCTAGTAGACACGAAACCGCACAAAATTGACATTCCCCGTCGTATTTTATTAACATTTATACATAATTAAATTCTTTTTCCTCGTGAGCACATTTCCTGTGTTTGAGTCGCTTTGAAATGTTTTTAATAATGACAGCACTTGTGGGTAATTAGAAACTGAAAATGGGAAATAATACAAAAAATCTAAAACAAATATTCTAATAGCATTTCTGAGAAGGTCGCAATTTCAAATAATATGATTTTTCTTCTTTTTGACTTATGATTAGTTTATTTAACAGAAAATGTTACTCATACGCAACGGTGTACCAAAGATGTTAAGCAACATTGCTGTATGGTGTATCCCTGAATAATTTTTGTTGTATTTATATTTATTTTTAATAGCAACTAGTCTCTTAATTTATATAACAATAGCATTATATTACATATCTATATATATATAATTATATTATATATTATATTATAATAATACAATTATGGTAACTATGTCGTATTGGTAAATTCTCAGTGAACATCAAGTTTAACAATGGCTACAGAATGCTTTCTGCAGAATATTTATTAATTATTAATTAATAATTAACAGTAATTAATAAATTATTAATTATATTCCTTAAATAAAACTTAATACTTGATTTGAATGCTAACTACAATACTGGCTCCAAATAAGTAATACAAAAATGAATACTAAATTAAGAATACCAAGTAATGAAAATTTCAATACTATGCAACAGAAAGTAAGTAACCAATACTAAGTAACGAATATAAATATAGAAAAAGAAGAATGCACTACTATTACGAAAGTACTTACATGTAAAAAGTTTAATTTTATTCACTTGTGACGTACCTACCTGTAGGTTGATACGGCAGAAATAATCGATATAGTTCACGAATTTGTTTCGAACTATAGATAAGTGTAAGTGTGCAAGCTTTTTGAGGCCCACAACCGGCGAATAACTTGGTAACTTGGTAACTGAGTAACATTTTACTATAATTCAGCTTTTTTTCTCTGTCGATTAAGAAAGTGGACAAAACAGAAGGCCATTCATTATTATCATAGCAATAAAACTAAATTTATTTTGAATTCTAAGAATCTATTCTTTTTTTACAGATATATATCTTAAGAAGAAAGAGGTATATTTTCACATACAGACATGTAGCTATTAAGACTGTTTCAACTGCTTATATTATTTCTACAACGTTCGATGATACTGCATTTACTTTCAACTGCTTATATTATTTCTACAACGTTCGATGATACTTCAGCCTTATTTTTGCGTCGCTTCATAATGTGGACGAAACATGAATCCATTACTACCTTGCCATTACATGGAAGTATTCACTATGTTATTAGTGCTTCCTCGTTATAGATATGTATCTTTAGAAAATTAAGGTCTATACTCTCACAGACAGTCCGTTTTTAAAGCTATCTAAACGGTGTACAATTTATCATTCAGATATAACTGCTGACACTCCGTATCGCTTTGATGTCCATATATATTCTTTGTCAGTTGCAAATATGAATTGATTTATAAATATATTTTTTTTGACAGACCAACAAAAATCAGTTTTATCTTATTTCTACATCCAGTTCAGTGGCAACATAACTTACTCTAAATCTAGGTCCTCAGATATAATTCAGAGTAATACAATAACATAAAAATTTCTAAATAGAAACTTTTATGAATTGCCGAATTTAGATAGAATTTGACAAAAAGATATCACATTTACTGTCCACCTCTGTGAGAAATGGGGTAGAATATTCCTGAGGCAAGTCATACCTCAACTAAAATTTAGTAAGTACTACCCAATACTATATGTATAAATGTATAAATGGTAGTCAATGAGTTTTACTTGCGGTACCCGACTCGAGGTCTAAATCTGTGACCACGAAAGTTAGGGTCAATAGCTTTCCAACAGAGATTGACTTAAGAGAGTATCGAGATGGCTGTGGTTAAAACCCAAAGTTACGGGAGTAGAATGACTGCATTTACTTTCATTCTGTATAGAGTAGCTTTTTCTAACCGGGTGCTGTGAAAGCAGAGACCTAAGATCAGCAAAGATGTTATATGGGCCTCGCCCCGCATCAAGGAGAAAACTATGTGCAAACGTAAATCCTCAACTAGAACCGGTTTTAATTGAATTACAAATGCAGTGGGCCATTTATTGGCGCATTATACTGGTTCTTGGGTTAAGAGCAGCTTGATGTTCTAAAATCTCTGGATTTTGTGTCACTATCCAAGCACAGAGTTTATCAGTGTGCGTTATATTCTTATACTCGTTCCACAATATCTGCAAGATAGAAACCCTTTAAAGACCTACATTTATCAATTCGTTTCAATGTTTATAAAAAAAAATGTAAAATCAAAAATGTTTGCTAAATAATTGTGGAAGTTATGACTTGTCTTCCACATAGTCTGTATTAATAATCTTAAAGAATAAAAAAACAATTTTTTTTCAATTTTGATGTAAAATTGAATCAAGTTGGCTTAGAAATTTGAAATTGAAAAAATATTTACTTATAGAATTTAAAAATGAAAAATGCATTGTATTTATTTGTTTTGTAGTGAACGTTACAATTTCTGAACACAGAGAAAAAAATTCTGACTTGTCTTTTGCGGTAGATATTCGATCATTAGTGATGGTAATATATAATATAATATATATATATAATTTTAAATTACATATGTCTTAGGATTCAAGTGAAGCATTCGGAGACTTGTTTGCTGAAAGAGAAAACATAGCAAAAGCAGACCCTGCCGTTACTTTAATGTGTCGTCGTTATGAGCCAACGCCACAAATTGACGTTTCAGATGGCACATACGGGTTGTCTGGATTATTCACTTTACCGCAAAGCGCTAAGAAGGTACCACTTATTAAATCAGAGCGTAGTGATGGTCGTTTTAAGAAGGGAAAGAAAAAGTTGGAAACTGTGTTAAAGTATATGAAAACTATATTTCATATTACTTTCATCCCTGCACTCTTTTATTTGGCATACCGCCGGTCTAAATTGGATGGAAAAAGTATTAATTGGATAAATGCGCTTCCGTTTCTTCGTTTTAAGTAGTAGTTCCTAAACTACTCTTCAGTTACTGTTAATTATTTAGACTATAAATTTCAATGTTGGTTTTCGATTCAATGACACTTAATTCCCTCAAAATCAAAAAACTAAAAGAAACAAAAAATTTTTTTTAGTAATAAAGTTTGATTAGAAATTAAAAAGTATAATAATGAGTTTTTTGTTCAAAAATTATTTAATGCTTAACATAAATAGTAATTGCAAAAAATATATTTATGAATAAATACCTTCAAATGTACTTTTTGGCTCGCTGATTTTTTAGTTAAAAAATCTAATCTAAATTGAAATATTGATGTCAATATTGTATATTCTTAGAATATATCATCCATGCTTTGCTGGTTTTGATCGATTATAGTCCACCATCGATCCACCGATCGTTGACGGTGTTTCCTATCTCTTGCAACATGATTTTTTTTATTTTCTAGAGTAACAAACTCATTTTGACTACTGTTCGCCACTGTCCTCGACTTATTAAGTTTTGGATCATCGTATCCAAATTCAGCTTATCAATTATTTATGACTAATCATATACAGTTTCTAAAACCAATAAAATGTCTGTTTTGTTTAAACAATATACCTATGTTACTGATAAAAATTTGGTTTTAATTAACGTATGAAATGTTTTGTTTACCCAAGGTGTTTAAAAAAAATCAAAAGTTGTCATATAAAAAGCGAAATGTCTAAACTTTATAACATATATCCCTATCTTATGAAGGCTTGTAGTATGGAACGGAGAAATGGGTATATATATTTTAAGAGGTAAACACTTGCATATATAAATTCCCATTTAGTTTTATATCCATGGTAAGGAGTATTGATTGGTCTAGCAGAAAACAACTTTGTCAAGAGCAACAGGAAACAGCAGAACACGTTTCATGCGTCTGCCCATTCGACGAAGCCTTAACTCAGAGTCAGCGCACCTTAACCAACTGACCCAAAGCCGTACTTGACTTTTATGTTTTCACATTTTTCTGGAGTTCTGGAGTGTTGATTTGCTGTGAAAGTTCATTAACAAATTCACTTGCTGTGTTTATATTAAAACAAAATTAAAAACCAGCTGTAGAATAATTGAATTAATTCATTATATGTAGTATATTTATATTTTTTTAATGTAAAAGTTTAAAAATATTTTTTTTAAGAGACATTATTTGCTACATGATTCCATATTATTCTATCTAATATTATTCTATCTTAAAGTCATGGTAATACTAATGTTACTAATGTAACATTAGTATTACCATGTTACTAATGTAACATTAGTATTACCATGACTTTAAGATAGAATAATATTAGATAGAATAATATGGAATCATGTAGCAAATAATGTCTCTTAAAAAAAATATTTTTAAACTTTTACATTAAAAAAATATAAATATACTACATATAATGAATTAATTCAATTATTCTACAGCTGGTTTTTAATTTTGTTTTAATATATATATATATATATTAATATATATATATATATATATATATATATATGTATATATGTATACATATATATTAATTTATATATGTTATAATTCTGTATTAAATTTATTTTAACGCCAGTTAATAGATTGTACTTAATTGATTGTATTAATATTGTATTTGATAGAGCGGTTTCGAACAGTAGAAAATTGCAACAACAAAGTTTGAATACTTGTCAATATTCGAAATAACGAATTTCAATAGAATAACTAAAATGGTTGTTGTTGTCTTTTCGTTTTTATTCGAATTCTTTTAACTTTGAAATAGTTTCTTTTCGTCATAAAACGCGTTACTTTTGGCAAAAAAAAAATTAACATTAACAAAATTTTTATTATTTTTAATTTAACCGTTTTTTCCTGAGAGTACAGCTGTTTCGAGTATTGCCAAATACCCATTATCGATTGTCTTCTTGGTATAATTTGTATATTTAATTATGAATTAAAATCATTCTTATATTTAATGTATTCTTTAATATTTTATAGACAGCAAAAATGTTTCCTGAGTTAAGACAATAAAGTTATGTCGAAATCACTTAACATTAAATAAATTGCGTTTAAAGCTAATAACTTAATAATCACAAAACTATTAAGTTTTAAGTAGCTGAAACAAAAGCCAAATAAATGCATAAAAAGCTCAATATAAACAATAATGGCAAATAAAGCAGACAACGTGCAGACCAGACAAAATGGCAGCCATTGCATAAAAAGCGGAAGCGGAAACAGAAACAGAAATATGCAAAGGAAAACAATAAAAAGCAGCTTTGAATTAAGTTTTATTATTTCTTTTCAATGTTTTTAGTGCACCGACGGGCGGTGCATTAGACTTTGCTTTGACTTGTGGAAATATTTACGAGTGTTAAAGGAGGGCTGAGAAAGCGTTCAACTTAAAAATTTACCATCAACTTTCGTTCTACGCCAATGAATTTGGTTTACTGCCCATCGCAATAACTTCGAAACTTCGGGCATGTTTTCTTTCTTCTAAATTACTAGTACGAGTCCAAACAAAGAGCAGGCACAGGCACAGGCATAATAATAAAATAAAATTTAGATAGAAAATAAGCATATTCATTTATGTCCGAGGCAATATTTGAATGCATTAAGTGCTGTATAAGGCAGATTCCTATAAGGATAAAGTATAGCTGCTCAACTGCTTGAAGGCACTTTTTTTTTGTCAAATCTGCTCGCAACACTTAAGAGCTAAGACATTTAGTACAAGTGTATGGCTTAGAAAACCAAATACACTCAATCGAGTTAATTTAATTAATTTTGCACTATTCACAAAATCCAACTTTGCCTTTTTCAGTTTATAAAAGAGTCATTATTTATACGAGGCTTATACGAGTATGTCAAGGTGCAGTGCAGCCACCCACATGTACAGTTAAACTACATATACCATAAAAACTTAATTTATACTTCCCGCATTTGCTTTGGCAGTAAATTGTGGAAAGTTTTTATTTTCTAGCAAAATTTATGACAAATAAAATTTCATACTTACAAAATAAGCTTAAAATTGTTGCCTTCGGTTGGCGAGTTATTTCACCGCTCATCGCAATAAAACGAAAAAATGTACCATGTACCGAGCAATGAAAAGTATTGCATTAACTGCAAAATAAGATTTCTGCCACAAGAATTTTAAATTTCCTTTAAAATTTTTAGTTCACATAAACTTTCGCTTGCAGCGTTCAAAATAACAAAACAACAAAATAACAAAATAGCAAAAAACTAGAAAAATAGATTGCATTTTTTCTCCATGTTTCAGTGTTTCAGAGTTTCAGTTTTTTTGATACTTTCCTCTTGAGGCATACGTTTTTATGTTCCAGATGCTTGGCAGTGAAATAGCTTAACTTCTTTGTGGTCTTACTTAATCCAATGCTGTTTGTATTTCAATTAAAATTTTAATTAAATAAAATTAACTACATTTAGTTTGTTAAAAACTTACCGAAATCTCGTACATAACATTACCCAGCCCACACCCACTTTAAACATTCTACATATTATAGTATTATATACAGTATTGGGATTAAAGTAAGTGTGAAGAACTTATACTCGTAAAAAGCCGCTCACGGCGACCTCAAGTTTTTTCGATCGAAAATATTATTTTATGCATAACAATACCCAGCCTTTAACTTTTATATAAAGTTATAGTAACTAAAGACTATTACTAATAGTAAATAATCATTTACGGTGACAACTAATTCCCATAGATTAAAACAAAGTGATATAAATATATTAAATAAATTTTTCTATACAGCACTATGTGACTTATAGCATTCTACTGGCATTTTCAATTGGTCCATCTGAATTCCATCTATAATTACTCTCGATTTGTCAAAATTTGTGGTAATTTTAGTAGACATTTATATGTTTCATTAATACATATATCGTATCAAATTACACTTTATTTGTCAAGTCATACAGAACAGCTGTTAATTTCAGTGCAATCTTGCTACTCTAGCAAAATATCTAGAGTGTTATAAATTAATCTCGAGTGTTATACATTTTGCCCCAGATTTACTAATCTGGATTTACCAATTGCACTAAAGGTGCATTGAAAGAGCGTGTCGATTAAAAAGATTATTCCAGATTTACCAATCAATAACGCCATAAGCATTCTATAATACATATTGTTAACAGCATTGTAAAAAATATTAACTAAAGGAAACTACAAAAATAAAAACCAATTGTAACGAATAACCAATAACACTCACAGTGACCTATGATCGCTTTTATCGCTTTAAAACAAAAAAAAACTATATCAAATTTCATACTCTATTATAATATATAGAATATAATATATAATATATAGAATAAAATATGCCAAATTTCATACTTCAAAAGTCACAAAATTCAACAAAAAAAATAACTGCTATTTTTCGCAGTTAAACCGATTTCCCAGTATCAGTAAGGACTGTCCTGAACCTTACGGGTACCAAGTCAGTTTCAAAATTTTCCAGTTTCAGTAAGCGTATCCACCGCAACGATATTTAGGGACTTTCATGTCTTGTATTTTGTGAGTACCAAGTCAGTGTTGCAATGGAAATAATCATGAATTTGGGTTATATGCATTCACATTATTTAAAGAATTTTATGAGGCTATTTTTCTCTTGTTCCTTATGGACTCAAAGTCGGTACTGCTAAGGGAATATCATCAGAGATATTGCGTAGGGTATGACCGGTCCAACTATACGTTCATTTTTTTAATTACAGTATTAATGTTCTACTGGTTGGTACTCGTAACTCTCAATAATTGCTCATTGTGTCTGTCCAACATATTTGGTAAATATTTCTATTAATAAAGCATCATAGGGTACGTTTCTACTATAACTAGTCATAAGTCCTTAATTATGACTATTAAAGACTCATATTTAAAAGTCACTCACTGTGACCTTTATCAACTAAAAATTATAAAAAATATTAACTATTTTCTGTTTTTTCATATATAATAAAACTTTATATGTATTTTATTTTTATTATGGTTTTTTTTTATTATTTTTTTTTATATTATTTTTTTTCGGTTTGATGTCCTTTTGCCAATTAAAGTGTCTTCTTGTTATTGTTGGGCCAACGGTTGGTAGTCATTCATGTCCAAACTCATTCATGATTAGCTTGAGGCGATTTCAAATTTAAAAA